CACTTATAGTATGTTAGAGCATTTACCCCTCCCTGCTATGAAGTTGTTAATAGACGCATTCAATAAAATTATGTATAGAGGTGATGACATTTCGAAAATCAAAAATGCACTGGTGGTTCCAATATGCAAACCAGGTAAAACTGACGAGTTTAGGCCAATTTCGCTTACATCATGTATGTTAAAAACTCTGGAAAGAATAATCAAATATCGTTTAGAGTGGTGGTGCGAATCTAAAAAGTTACTTCCTTCCCATCAGTTCGGATTTAGGCGAGGTAGCGGCGTAAATGATTGTCTGGCACATTTAGTTACTGATGTACAGAACACATTTTCTGATAATGATTATTTGGCGGCTATATTTTTGGATATATCCAGTGCATATGAAAATGTCAATCTTGAAATCCTTATAGATAAACTAGTACAATTTGATGTGCCTAGAGCAAATGCTAATAATATAGTGAGATTATATATCAGTCGAGGCGTATCCATTAGAATAGGTAATGATACTAGCGTAACCAGAATTGTCTCATCTGGCATCCCCCAAGGTTCAGTATTAAGCCCATTACTTTTTAATATGTACACAACGGATTTTCATTCAATGGGGTTAAATGCTTCTCAGTTACAATACGCTGATGATTTTTGTATCTATACAAAGCAAAAAAGCATGCATGCATGCTTAACCAACCTAAAACATATTATGTATGTTTGCAATCAATATTTTCCCAGCAATGGCTTCAATATTTCAATTCAATCAGGCATCGTTTACAGAAAACATCAACAATTACACTAAACAACTGTGTTATCCCATGGGTTGAAACATTTAAGTATTTGGGAGTTTTATTGGATCAAAAATTGGCTTGGAAAGAACATATTAACTATATAACTGAGAAGGCCGAAAAAAGTCTTAATATTATGAGAGCAGTAATATCTAGGTCATGGGGATCCGATCCCCAAGTTTGCTTAATGTTATATAAAGCGTTTACAAGATCAATTTTGGATATTGGCGCTATGTTTTATGGTTCTGCTTGCAAATCCCGACTTGTTAAAGTCGATAGGCTGCAATACAAAGCTCTAAGACTTGTTACAGGCGCTTTTAGCTCTACCTCAATCCAGGCTCTACTTTCTGAATGTAATGAAGTTCCATTAGAAATAAGATGAAAAATTCTAGCAGAAAAATTTATTCTTAAAAATGTTCAATACGTACATAACTCGTTGCTTAATAAAATTTCTATCTTGAATATTTCTAATCTAACTCAGTCATACTGGAGAAATAAGAAAAGTCCTGTTTTAGCGGATGCTTTTGTAAATACATCAGAATTTCATAACATTATAACAAAACAAGACAAATATATACTATTTCAATTTCCATCTGATTTGATATATCTCAAACCTGAAATTCATGCGATGAATTATAAGAATCTTGTTATAGCCAAAGTATTGGAGATATTCTCTGTTTTGTGCTCTAAAAATATTTCTGTCAAGTTTGTATGGGTTAAGGGACATACAGGTCTCAAACGCAACGAATTGGTTGACAATGCAGCAAGAGAGGCGATCGTTTCAGAAGAGATCCTGGAAATTACTCCATATTCGGACTTTTTCGAAATAATCAAAAAAAGATCTTGGGAAGTTTGGCGCAGTAATTATATTGCAATGGCAGTTAACTCCCCTAATTTGTATAACTCCTTTTATCCTAGATTGAATAAAAAGCCATTAATAGAACGTTTTAAACCCTGCACAGAAATGTGTTTGTTTCCTATTTCAGATTTTTAGTTGGGCATGGAAATTTTAATAAACACATGTATAAGCTTAAGTTATGCGAGAACACGCGATGCTTTTGTGATAACCAATCTGAAGATGACTTGAATCATAGATTATTTAGTTGTAGACACAATGAATTGGCAACTTCATTTTTAAGAAGAGAATTGGAAAAACTCCATCTCATACCTATGAACCACAAGGGTTTAATTAAGCTTATTTTATCAGATGATAACTTAGAAAATATATTTATTAATTACTTAAAATTATGTAAAGTCCTTATTTGAAAGATAATTAGAGTTAGTTTCGTTTCCTATGTTTTTTTTTTCCTTATATGTTACATCCTTTCTAACCGGGTCCACCTGTGTTTTGTTGAAGTTTAAAAATGTCCTGCATAGACCCCAGGACGAGAAGCGTGTGTCCATGTGTTTATCCTTTGTGCTGGATTCCTTCTTTTTTTTTTATCTCTATTATCGTTGGGTGGGTTTAAGTAAATGTGAATGGTTAGCTGAAGTTTGAACTTTTGAATTATGTTTTCGTGGCTAAGTGAGCTATGCTCAAAGCCAAAAAAAAAAATTATCTTGTAAAGATTGTCCCAAAGTATATATAGGACAAACAGGTAGAAATTTTGGTACTAGAATTAAAGAACATTATAATAGTTTCAATAAAAAGAAAACAGACTCAAATTATGCAAATCATCTAATAGAATCTAATCATAATTTTAATAATGAATTTAAAATGTTACATAATGAAAACAAAGGGATAAAATTAAATCTTCTAGAATCTCTAGAAATAAACAAACTTAAAAATTTAGACTGTTTACTGAATAACCAAATTAGATTTAAACAATTCACCACTTTTAAATTTATTTATTGTATAATACCTTTTTAGATTAACGTAAAATTAGACCAGCTTTTACCTTATTTATATTCGACAATTTCACTTTTATGTCTACATCTTATTCTATGGTCTACATCTCTCTGATGAAGCTACAGTGTAGCGAAACATGTTAAAGTTTAACAAAAATTAGTGGAAATAAATATATTAATTCACTTTAAAAAAATCTTTTACTAAATAGATTTTATTATGTAAAAGTGAATGGTATGTTCACAGAGAAATATCTAGTTGTTAGCGGAGTTCCTCAAGGGTCTGTGTTGGGCCAGTTGGTTTTTATTGTGTATATAGGTTTTTTATGTTTTTTTTTTATATTATTATTATTTTTATTATATTTAGGATGACGTCATCGGACAAGGACAGACAATGGTCGCGTTCCTAAGCACTCAACATGTTGAGTGAGTAGTAAGCGGCTTTGTTCCATCTAGTGAAATGCCCAAGGTAGACAATTTTTGATTGGCCTAGAGCTGATTTTCATCTGTTTGCAACATAGCCGCTGACTAATCACTCAACATGTTGAGTGCTAGAAACGCGACCAATGTTGTCAATGCCTATTTTTTTTCTTATGATTTACCAGAATGTCATGTGTCAATAATAGACCTATCTATTTTTACCTGGTATGCGCGCGCAACACGAGGCAATGCCTTTTTATTGGCTAACTTGTTCAGGTGTGAAGTGTTCGTTTTGCAGGCTGGGCATCTTCTTGTCCTAGTTCATTGCCCGTGGTCTGACAAGAAAAAGAGTATGGTTATGATATTCAACTTGATAAGTGACATTCAGAAGTTGTTTAATTTTTTCAATTGTCAAATACGTTGCACAACACGTGGTCTTTCTCCTTCCCTTTTTATCCCGTGCAAATAAGAAGGACGGAATGCTATACGTAAGTCTGATATAATTTGGTATGTTTTGCTTCGTCTTGCGCAATTTCTGTGTCTTTTTTATCTAATGGAGTTTTCGTATTATTACCTCTTTGTCTGGTAAAATAGATAGGTCTATTGTGACGACAGCTATAAATAACGAAACGAAATGAAAATGTTTATACAAGTCATGCAACGTCGCGCGCCGTTGCCAACCAAAAACATCTGAAATTCTCCTACTTTAAATGCATTAAAAAGTACTTTTGGTTTTGTTAGGTTGGCAACAGAAATTTACTGAATGTGACGTCATCCTAAATGTAGCTTAAAAATCCTATATCAGCGATCTCTTGTGGAATATTCGCACCAATATGATATTTTTAGCAGATGACTCGAAACTCTAATGCAACCCACTGACACAAGAAGAGGACCTATCCTCGGACCTAAACAAAATCGTGAAACGGTCCAAACTGTGGGCGGGACTGTGGGGTATGAAATTGAATGAAACGAAATGCTCAGTGTTGCACATGGGTCCAAATAACCCACTAGCCAGATACCGCCTCAATAACATAGCTCTATCATCAGTTGAACAAAACGATTTAGGTGTTATTATTTCAAATGACTTAAAATGGGAGAAGCATATCAATAAAATAATCAAAAAAGCAAATAAATTCATTTTTTTAATACAGAAAACATTTAGAGACCACTCGGTAAATACCATTAATTTACTCTATAAATCCTACATAAGACCCAAGTTAGAATATGCTTATAGCGTCTGGACTCCATACTATGCCAAGGATATTGAAGCCTTGGAGAAAGTGCAGAGACGCGTCACTAAAACTCCGTTAGAATTGAGGAACAAACCGTATAGTGACAGACTAAAAACTCTAAAGCTAACAACTCTGAGAGAAAGAAGAATGCGAGGTGATTTAATCGAAACTTATAAAATAACTAATGACTATTATTCAGGCTGTTTGACAAACATTTTTCATTTCAATAATTGTTTTTCTTCCAGTCTTCATGGTTAGTTCTCGTTATTTTTTTATCTCCGATCTTCTTGTTATTAAAGTGGTGCAAGTCTTCTTGTCTCTGGGCATCTTCTTAAGCCTAGGGTCGTCGAATAGGCATGACAATGGCTGATTTCAAACAGCCTAGAACGCGACCAGTGACAGAAAAATAATTAACAAGCTCAACCATAACAGGAAATGCAATACCTGGGAGATGCTTAAAAAATTTTATTGAAAAACCATCCGTACCTGCGCTGTGCTTATTTTTAATCGATGAGAGAGTCTTTTTTATTTCGTCCAATGTAGTAACATAATTTAAAAACATCTACCACCCTGGCATGATCCAGAACCAATCAATCGGAATGTTTGATCCATTTTTGGAAAACTAAACTTTCTTACATATGATTTTTAAGTCGCGTTTAGTGTAATCTTGCTTCTGGATCTAGAACATTTCCCCATTTCCTATTTATTAAAGCTTCGATCCCAATTTCAGTTTGAGCCACATAGAAAACAGTGTTGAATTAGATTGTTCTCATCGGTTTTGTGAAACATGTTTGAGAAAATTGAGAGCGATACAAGAATCTAAGCCTTCATGTCCCATATGCAAAAACCAAATAAGTAAACGGGCACCAATTTATAAGGATCGAATTTGTGATGTACTTGGTAGATTCACAAATCAAGCCTGCCAGTTGATCAAGGAAAAATATGCTATTGGGGGTGAGATAATGTTAACTTAATTTTTGGCTTTTATTTATGATTTGTCTATTTTCAAGTTGAGGAAGTTTGCTCTAAAAATACTGATATTGGCCGAGTTATTGAAACATCACCAAGAGACACGCCAGCATCTACAAGGAATAATAAAAATTCTCCTGGTGCTGCTGAACAGCCTAAAAAGAAGAAGTTGAACTTTGAATTTCCTGATGAAAGCAACAAAATCACCAGCTGGTTAGACTATAACCAGAAAAAATGGGAAAGTGTAACACAACAGTATAATACAATGGCAGTTCCTGACCCAGAAGTTGACAGTTTTGATATGCTTTCTGTATCACAATGTAGGAATTTTTTTGTCTTCATTGGTATTGATATTGATAAATTAGGTTGTTTTTTAGTACCACCACGAATAAATAAAAAAATCAAGCAACGAATATTGCATTCGCTAACAGCAGAAGATCATAAAGTGTCAAAAGCTTCTTCAAAAAGATATAAAAGTTTAAATGATGGCCTTGATGAAGATGGCAATTACAATATTGGGGATGTTGCTTCGGAAACAATTGTTAAACAGGTTAATTTATGTTTGTATCATTTTTTACAAAAATTGCCAACAAAATTAATTTTAAGGTTGAACTAAAAGTAATCCAGAACATGCTAGAAGATGAATGTCTGGCAAACATGGAGCAACTAGCACAAAATAGAACTGAATCCACACCTGAAAAAAATCCCAAATTGCATGAAACAAATAATAAGAAACTAACTATTAGCTCCATGACTTCTGATGATGGATGGAATAGAATAAGAGATGTAAAGAAAACTCTTGAAAAACGAGAACCGCAAAAACTGAAAATTGTTTTAGAAGACCAAGATAATGGCAATAAGAAAAAGTCTCCTACAAAGAATAGTAATAAGAACAAATCTCCTATTGGACAAGGTTCAAACAAGAAAAGTAATGCTGTACCTTCAAGAATGATAAGTGAGTATATAATTATTTGGACATAACTACCTCTACAAATGACAAATCATTATAGTGCATTAATTTTAATACTTTATGATGCCTAATTTTAATAATTTTTTCCTAGGTATTCCACCTGAAATCAAGATTCAAGAAAAAGTGAGTGAGTGGTTTGGTAGACATAACATAAATAATTAAATTAAATAATTACAGGAAGCCACTGCCCCAAAAGACACTAGACCAGAAAACCAAGCTAACAGGTTGGGTGAATTAGGAAGTTACATTGACGAACACATTCACAATGATGAAATAACTCCAAACAAAAGTACACGACATAATATTGACAAAGAAAATGAGGATGAAGATTTATTTTTCTTACCAACACAACTAACACCACAAAATGTTGCCAGACAATACAATCTACATTTTGTGCCACCTGCTGCCAAAAGCTTAACCGACAATAACAATATAGCTCTTATCTTACGTGAAGAATTGAAATCTTGTATTGCAAATGCTGTGAAATTCAATGATGCTATTGGTCCGAAATTGGTTGATTGTTTTACCAATCTTTTGAGTTATGCTAAAAAATTACAGCCCAAGAAAGTGTTAAATAAAAGTGCTCAAACTATGACTGAGAATAATTTCAGTGTTGGAGTTCAAACTGATGCATTGAATTTTGGGGAAAAGGGAACACAAACTTCTATACATGGTTTATTGGACAGTGTTCAAAAAACACATGTAAATGGGTCCCCTTTATTTGATAAAATCAATACAAATGGCAGTAAGTATGGATTTCAACTTCTCGTCACATACATAAATAATCCATTGCTTATTATTCACAGATCGCTCCTCCAAAACATCCAAGCGCAAACTCAACTTGGACGAAAAAGAAGATTCCAGCGAAATAGTTGGTGCAACATTATCTAAACCTTCAAAACGCATCAATAAATTGCAAGTTGGTGACGGTAATAGTGAGAAAACATTTCCATGGGACAACATGAAGGAAAATCAAGAGAATAATATTTCTTTGAGTTCAGCTTTAGAATGTAGTTTGCATTCAGTTCGAAATTTTCAAAAATCAACCAGAGAGTCACAAAAGTAAATGATTCATTTTACTTACATCATATCAGATAATTTCATGTGGTTTTATAGGTCGTTTAAAAGAATTCGGACGCCCCCGCCTGATAGTGATTCAGATGAAGAAAATCCTAGCAAAAGAAAATTCTTGAAAGACTATTTAACAGTGGAATTTGTTGAGAGTGATAAGTTAGATGGTGATGATGATGATAATGAGGAATTGATTCCTGAAAAGTGTGATGTAAGTTATTTTGGGTTATTTTTTTACTTTCAGTGTGAAACACGTCAATTAACTGGGTTTGTTTGCTAATTTTCTTTTTTGGATATCATCAACTCTATTTTCTCAGCCCTTTAACCTTTAGTGACAGCACTTGTTTTCAAATAGTTATATTCATGTCCAATGGGTCTTGTAGAAAATTTCGTGGAGATCTTGGTTTTGATTTTTGATATAATATGTTAATTCCGGAATATTGAAAAACCTGGCCCAAGTAGGTAGTTTTCAAATACCTAACATCGATGTGGTCTGACAAAGCATATTTCAAATTATTACTATTATTATCCCATCATTCCTGCTTCGTTATTAACAAAGAATACATTATTTATATTTTTTAATTTCTCTTGGATTTTGGCCGGTTTCTCCCTAGACCAGAGTGAGAGACATCATAGCTTGTTGTCATCTTCTTTGTAAAAGAGATCTGAAATTGAAACTATCCAACATAGATTTATACGAAACTTTTAACGGATATGTGTTAGAGGTAACGCAAGAACCTTTTTTGAACCTTTCCAATACAATCAATACATGTGGACTCCAATGGCATCCAAATTTGTTACGCATATTCTAAATATGGCCTCACCAAAGCATTATACAACTTGATTATTGTGGAGATACTAAATTCCTTTGTATTTCTAATCAAGAAACCCAGAGCCTTGACGGATTTATTTTTCATGTGACAAAAATGATCATTAAATTTTAAATTTGACTGAAAGAAAACTCCCAAATCCTTCACTTCACTTTCACGCTTCATTATGACATCAAAAACTTTGTAGTTATGAGAAATAGGATTGATTTTCCTAGTAAATGTTAAAACTGAACATTTTCTTATATAAAGAAACATTTTATTTTATTTGCTCTGAGAAAATTTCCGTTCATATTACATATCTTTAGTATAATGGCTTTCTGCATGTTTTGATGTATAACTAGTTGAAGTTGTTTTAGATGTTGGGTAAATGCCTTGTGTGTAATATTAGTTGCGGATATTATGAAGGGTATGATTTACACTCTTTCTTGCCTCCATATTCTATCTACTTCCATTGCCAGTGGTGTGTACTTTTTGCTAACATACCATCTGGTATGTAATTATTGTAATAAAGTGTTTTTATGGTTATCAAGTTAAATTATATGCATGCTAGTGCCTGGTGTATTACTTTTGCTGCCATGTTATGCCTTTCTGTGTATACAGTGCCTGTCAGTATTTTGTATCCTCCTATTATGACGTGTTCAATGGTTTCTTGATATTAATGGCATTTCCTGCTTCGCTCATCTCTCTGAAGTTTTCATTATACGTTTTTTATAATTTTTAGTAGCTATTACCTGGTCTTGTAAAGCATAAAGCCCCCTGTTTCCAGATAGAGTTGTGCTTTTTATAGCCATTTATAAGTGTCCTGTTTATTTATTTGTTGGTTGTCCATAGTGTATAGGTTTTTTCCATGTAGTTTCTTCTGTGACCATTAGTTAAATTTATCTTGTTGTGTTTGAATCGGTTTTAGTTGCAGTTCAGATTGTGAAAGATTTAATGGTCATCTTTATCTGCTTCTATGCCTGCTTTATGTAATGATGTATTTTTAGTGTAAGTTATGTTCTTAGTGTTTGCATTTGACTTGCGTGGAGCGTGTATCTATCAATCCTCTACCTCCTTTCTTTTTATTTATTGTAAGTCTCTCTCTGCATGAATTTGGATGTTATTTTCCAGATCTGTGGTTGTTCATTTAATTATTCTGAAGGAATATGTTAGTAGTGGCACGGCGAACGTATTAATGGCTTTTGCGTTCAATTTGGAGTTAGGTATTAGTGTTTTTCTGCCGTGTGGTCTATTTTTGTATTCTGTTTGAACCCTAGATAATTGTATGTTTAATTTTTTTGCATGTTGTCGCGTATTTTTTGGTTAAGTGTTTCTGTGTTTTGATACATTTGTCTTTCCATTTGCCACGTTCTATGTGCAGGATTTAACATTTGTGAATTCCAAACTGCATTCTCATGTCTGTTGTAATTATTTCTATAATTTTAAGTACATAATCCTTCGTTTGAGTTGGTGCATATATTTTTATGTCTTCCATATATGTATAGCATGTGGTTGGGTGCATGGTTTATTCTGTTTTGATGTTCAATTTGGAAGCCGTACTTTGTGTTGTTTATTGTGTTCGAAAGTGGGCTCAGGCAGAGGCAAAACCATAGGGCACTAAGTGAATCCCCTTGGAAGATTTCTGTCATTATTTTTATATAATAATAATAATAATAATAATAATAAATCAAGGGGAAGGAGGCACACAAGAACAACGCCTGGGTATTAGCAACACCCCCCTCTACCCCAGCAACCAGGGTCAAATCGGATCGGCAACCTGCGACGCAGGTGACTCGCAAGGATGAAAGTCTGCTAGTCCTAAATGTCGACCGAGGGCTGGCCAGGGTAACCTCCTACCAGTCCCTCAACTCGGTTCCAAACGCAGAGGAACGAGAGGGCCCCCACAACCGACCCTGTCGGATGAGGGGTCACAGGCAAGGTAAAGGGTCCCAACCGAATGGATTGCCCGATGACGACCGCAACGAATAAGGACGCTTTGAGTGGACCAATGATCTGAGGGATGATCTGCTGGAATGTTATGAGAGCAGTAGCCCAGCTCGAAGGGGATATATGGGTCGTATGCGTGAGCTGTGGAGTGAAATGCAAATGCATCCTGAGTATGACACATTCACTGCTCAGGGCTTGCGAGACTATGTGTCTTACCTTGGGCGAAGGGGATATGTTAGAGGACCTCAACAGCCGGCGGTACCTGAGGAACAGGAACCGCAGATACATATAGCTGAAGAGGCGCCTCCTGTAGCGCCAGAAGAGGGTTTCCGGGACCGTACGGCGCTGCACAAGACTAAGCGACCGAAACCACAAGACCTAGCTAGAGCGAACGAAGAGCTGTCAAATGCTCTAACAGAAGAAGCTGACATCTGGCGCATTAATTGTGCCGTCTACGAGGCAGCTTGCTCCTTGTCACCCAGGGTCCCCAACAGGGATTCCTGCGTTTGTCACCCAGGGTCCCCAACAGGGATTCCTGCGTTGACAGGACGCAACGCCGAGTGAAAAAGATGGAAGCAAAAATCCTCTCAGCAAGGCAGCACGCATCTCATATACAGTGTGTGGTGGAATATAAATTGGCAGCCAGGCCTTTTACGCCAAAAGTGCGCCGCATAGCCGCCAACCTGCGACGCACCCACCACACACTGAACGAAGCACTGTTGCAGACCATCAAGCAGCAGTGCTGCGAAAGGATACGGATGTTAGTGATTGCCAAACAAAATCTAATTCGGCGGGCGAAGGGGCTTTCGGAAAACAAATTGTTTTTTGAAACCCCCAGTCGCTTATTTCAAGCGCCGCCAAGGATTATTGACAATCCTCCAACTGCTGAGAGGGTGGAAACCTTCTGGAGGGGTGTGTACGAGGTAATTCGTCCGCTCAACGCAGGCACACCAGCCCTGGCACAGTTCGAAACCTTCGTGAGGGAGTTTCCACAACCTGATCAACTGTGCCCACCGATAACTGTGGAGGAAGTTCGAGGTGCTCTTATGGGCGCTAAGAACTTTGCAGCTCCTGGGCCTGATGGAATTAACACCTATTGATGGAAAAAATTTCCATCAACCCATGAGGCCCTAGCCCGAATTTTTAACTCCTGGGTTAATGAGGGGCAGCGAATTCCTTCCTGGTTTATTGAGGGGCGAACCGTCCTACTCCCCAAGAATGGAGACTTGTCCGATACAAAGAACTATCGCCCGAAAACATGTGTGCGGTGCTGCCGGCCGTAGAACGCATAGGGTTACCCACCTCTTCTATATGGATGACCTCAAGTTCTACACGTCGACGAAGACAGATCTCGACCAAGCTCTTCGGGTAGTACAGGAGTATACTCATGCGATCGGGATGGAGTTCGGGTTGGATAAGTGTGCGACGGTTCAACTTAAGAAAGGGCGCCATGCGGATCACGCCGAGGACGCGCAACTCGTAGATGGGAGCATCCTACGACATCTGGATGCCGGGGAGACTTATACTTACCTGGGTGTTCCTCAGGGACACATCCAGGATAGTGTCGCAATAAAAGGGTCTCTCCGCGACAAGTATCAGCAGCGGTTGAGACAGATCTGGAATTCAGAGCTGTCTGGAAAGAACAAAGTCGCTGCTACAAATATGCTTGCCATCCCACTACTCATTTACTCCTTTGGGGTGATAAAGTGGCATGTAAATGAGTTGCGTGAAATTGACGTAAAAACCCGCAAGATGATGACGCGATGCCGAAGCCATCATCCTAAGGCGTCTGTCCAACAGATTTACTTCCCACGTTATCAGGGAGGCCGTGGACTCTTAAGTTTGGAGTGTCTGCATAGACGGTTGGTCCTAAGTACCGCGTGCGGAGTAATCAGAGACGAGGATCCCCTGCTATGCATGGTGCGTGACCATGAAACATTTGGGGTGGAGGCATTTCTTTTTAAGGCTGCACAAAGGGCAGCGGATGAGCTCCAAATAGTTTTCGACAAGAGTCGGCGGCAGGAAAATTCTATTACAGAGTTTACCAGCCAAAGACTTAAAACCACCTTAACGAGTGCAGAGGTAGACTATTTAGTACGTCTACATATGGATAAGCCATTGCACAGTGTTTTCTTTAAAACCATTGAAAACACTGGCTTATCCAAAAAGCTAAGCTTTGCATTCTTGAGGTCTGGTGCAGGTGCAGGTTCCTGACACAAGCTGTAGGGCCTGCCATAGGGCGCCGGAGACCTTATATCATCTGCTGTCTGCTTGCGGACGGTATGCGGTCTCGGCGTTTATCCATAGACATAATGCGGCGTTACGGGTGCTGTATTACCACCTAAGGCACTCGTACGGTGTTGATGACACTCCAGTGCTGCCATATGTCCCCTCTGATGTTCCGTCCGTAGTGGAGAATGACAGAGCCAGAATATACTGGAATTTCGCATTCCCC